CTCTCTTCGTCTGTCCCTAGGGCCTGGGATTCYAGAGGGCTGCCCCTGACAAACACAGAAGCAAAGGCAGCATTCAGCAGCTCTGCTTTGTCCGTGTTTTCCGTAACCAGGGTACCCACCCSRYTCACTAGYGGACCMACGTTCTCCCTGACCTTCCTTTTGTTATTGATATATTTGAARAAGTTTTTCTTGTTATTCTTAACATCCCGTGCCAGATTCAATTCCAATTGTGCCTTATGGGGATTTTATAGTTATTGCATACTTTAAACCAGAGGTCAAGAAGTAGAAACAAGAAAGATGTGCCTCTTCATGCTGTTTTGTGTGTTTGTTTATTTTTCAGGAAAATAAAGGAAAGTTTGGAGTGCTTTCCAGTCAAGCTCAATAACCTGATCCACACACTTGTACAGATGTCAGTAACAGGCTCTGCCAAGCCTGCAGCTCCAGAGACTGTTCCCCAAGAGTGGATCATGCTGGATACAGAGAAGGCAATTGCAAGAGCAACCATTTTAGGGTTCAACAAAAAGCCTGACTCTGTGTGTATTATTTTGTGAGCTTGCCCTCATTTACCTTGATCTTTAACCACTCTTCCCCCTTACATACTTTTCTTCCTTTATTGTTTAAGATGTGTTTGTGCAGCATTGGAAGGATCACAGAATAAGCAGCAGTGCCACAAGCAATGAGATACTGGAGAGAAATAATGCCAGGCAGACAGCTATTAGCAGGGAGCCATTAAGGAGAACAGTTCCTGCCCTATAGTGAAAAATAAATCAAGAGCTAATTAAAGCATCCAGAAGGAAAGCATGGCACAAAATTAGGAAGCCTAATAGAAATCAGAAGCTGTTATATGATGCTTTAATGGTGCATTATTAGTTTTCACACACTGCAGTGATCTCTCAGTGTTTGAATTGTATGCTATCCAGGCAAGTTTCTCTTTCTGTACAGCAAAGACTATAAATTACAAATTGAATTCCCTGGCACTTGGCACTACATTAAAGAAAGGTTTTTCTTTGTTAAAATCACCCTATGTTTTCTCTTGTACTTTTTTTAATGCGATTCTCTGATCATTTCTATTTCTGCTGTTTCCTTTTTCTCAATACAGCTGTATCTAGTCCAGGTGGTGCAAACCTGCAGTGTGGTCACTTTTGTGGAAAAATCATTTGACCAGTTCGCAAAACTTCACAGCCATCTCCAGAAGCAATTTCCATCACATACCCTCCCAGAGTAAGGCAGCATATTAGTGAATATTATTCTGCTGTTAAATGGTTCTTTCTGTGCACAGAAAAAAATGTGAGAAAATGTATGGCAGATGTATTTTTAGAAACACAATGGAAATGCAACATAGTCTATCAAGCTTTTTATTCACACTAGAAGAAACTGAATCATAGACTATTGTGACAGTCTACTTTTATATATTTTATTGTTCCTTTTTTAATGGGAGGGATTGGGGGTGACAGCTGTAATAGCTATGGGCCTGATGATACAGCTATTTCTGAAATAAAAGGCTAAATGGTACTGACCTCATTAAAAGCATGGTAGAGCCTTTAGTAGATTTTATTTTTGCATGATGCTGGTCAAAACTCCTAGCCAGTTCAGTATTTTAAAGCAATCAAGGAATGTTCATAGATAAGAAGAAAAGCAAGCTCATCTCTGGTGCAGGCAGGCATGATCCACTTCTTTACAACAGATGCATGCACTGCCCATCTGAGAAGTATTTGATAATCTTACGTGTTCTGGCCCGTCAACACGTTGCTCACAAGGCCACAAACTTCTGAGCCAGTTGTGGCATTCCCTCGTGCTTGTTAGAGGCATTCACTTAAATGGCTTTAGATTGGTTAATTTTAGAGAATCTCTCCCTTACCCAAGGGATTTTTAATTGATCTACTCCAGGTAACTTATTATGACTGGTCCATATGACCAGGTTGCAGTGGTTTGTCAGAATCTAGATTTTGCTAAAAACTGAAAATACTTCGGTCATTATTTTGATTCGGACCCATTTTTACCCTAACTGTAAAGAAAAATATTTAAATATGTAACTATTTATGATATTTTTTCCTATAAACACAGACCTTTAAAGGGATAAATATTTCATTTTAGAAGACATAGACCTCAGAAAGCTTGTACTGGTTTTCAAAATCATTATTAGTCATTTTTTTGTGTAAAAAATTTACCATAAAATCACTCACAATATTTTAAAAGCAAAAGAGAATTCTAGAACTTAAAGAAAGTTCATCTACAGATACTGAGGCTTTAAGAGGTGTTTAAGTGGTTCAGAATTGTTAAAATTCAATCTCAGCAATAACCTGTCACTACATGACTTTGTATACCAAGACTGTATTAAAAAAAAAAAAAAAATCTATGTTTGACATTCCTTTAAGGAAATGTTCATCAATGCTAAATAGTTTTGTTGGGGCTTGTTTGTTTTTTAATGGAGTTCTGTTAGTGTCAGGTTTTTATGTACTTGATTATTTTATGCTAGCAATAAAAAGGCAACTTATTTTTATAGGAAGTTATTGGAACCGCCATACCACATCATACCATTAGACTGTCTGTGTTGCATATACCTCTATCGTAGGCTAATTCCAGATACTTCAAAGGAAAGCAAAAGCCTTATTCCATAATGCAACTACAAAATGGATTTGAAAATATATGATTTGGAAGTACAGTGTCTAATATTACATGAATAATTGGAACCGCGAACTGAAAGGACCTGGTTACTGCTTTATATTTATTCATGTAATTGTATACATCCATGTCTCATTAGGAGGAAATAATAGTGTATGATTCTGCTTGTTAGAGGTGCTAAGTACTGGCTGTATCAAATGAAACTGATAACAAAAGTTCTGACTTCTCAGCATCCAAATTTTCACTGTTGACACTTACTTAACTGTTCAGCCATTATTTATAAGTCAGAGCACTGCCACCCCGTGCAAGCCCTTGCACCGTGGTACCCTTCCTCTTATTTGATTTTACACAGAATATAAATTGTATTTAATTATTATTCTTTATAAGGCCAAAAATCTTTTCACCCAGCTCAGCATATAAGTGGCATAAATTATACACAGAAAACTAGTTAGTAGGAAATTGAATTTGATATTCAGGAAGTCGATGCATGACACAAGTCCGTGTTTCTCAGATCTACATCTTAAAATAGATGCAAAGCTCAAAACTGGCTTGGAAATCCAACCTTCTCTGGCACAAGTGTGTGCCCAACTGGGAAGCCAGTTTCAGCCCCAGGTGCAATGCAGAGGCAGCATGAATTTTAAAGAACGGTTGAACACTACAAGGCTCATATTGTCCTTCACCAGAGCAGAGAATTATAGATGCCATCAATCAGCAGTTTCTCTGAAGTTAAAGATAATGCATATATCTGTGCTCAGTTTGGTCACTGTGCTTACGATGCGCTTTCTGAGGGCACTCATTTTACAACTAGAGTCCCCTCTTTGTCTTATACAGTCTGATTAATTTTAAGCTGCTTCCAAGCTGTGCCTCGCTGCCGTCTCTTGAAAGCAATCCTTCTGTGCACCCGGAGGAAATCCAAACATTCAGAGGTTGTGCATGGGCGTCAGATGACCAGGGCTCTATTTTTAGCTGTGCAGCTGATGTATTTCATGATCCTGGGTCATGTCATTTCCCCTTTCCCATGATGTACTCTATTGCTATAATTTCTTGAGGCGAGAATTGTCCCTCGCTGCTCATTTTTGCAGTGCCTGGTTGAGCCCTAATGTTTTAGTGCTACAGAAAAAAGTAATCAAAAGACTGGATTTGCAATGTGCTGCCACCATCCTGGTCCTTTACCATCTCAACTGCAAACTAAGATATACCCGTGCTTTCCTCCAAAGTGATACAGAAATAGGAAAAGCTTTGCTCTCTCCTAAGAGGAATTACAGTATCTTGTTAATAAGCCCTCTCTTCATAGGAAATCTTCTGTTACAAAACAAACTTCATAAAAAAAGAAAAGAAAGAATAGCTCTAATTTACATCTCATGAAATTTAATTATCTAGAATCTCATGATGACAAAAACTGTGGGTTAATCATATTAGATTTCTTTGTTTTTCATGGGGTGAGACTGCTCTTTGCCATTTTTCCAGCTGAGTGGTCTCACAGAGCTGGCCTGTACTCCTCCCTAGGGATGCGCAGCCAGGGCTCCATGTGCTGTTATTTGGGCTGATGACATCTTATCATGGAGCTGTGGAATTGGGTAAAACCTATTCAAAGTCAGATGTGACCAGCAGGCTTTCAAAGGGCCAGCCAAGTGCCTCCCTCTTTTCAGTGCATCGCACTGCAGGCTGCCTCTTTAGTCACTTGTCTGAAGCCTCCAGGTATCTCCTGAGACCTGCTGGATCAACAAGGTTGTATCAGGAAAGAAAGGAAGTTTGTAAGTCAGACACTGCTAAGTGCTTACAGGTGTGACATGAAAGGCAACCAGATCAAACCCTCCACTGTTTTAAGTCATGTTGTTTTGGAGGACAGAGGGCATAATATTAGTTTAGCTATCTCAATATTAGTAAGCCATGTCACAAAACCCATTACGTGCAATTTAGCACAGATAGCTTTTCTAATGCTTAGACAGCCTGAGAGAGAAACAGACCTTGTCAGGTCAAGGTTAATACAAATTGATTCTACATATTGTTTAAAATCTAACCTTTTGGCTGATAGGACAATCATTATCTTGAAAATGCAAAGGTGATTCGAGTGAAAAGAATGTGGCTTTGACATTTTCAATCATCACAGCATTTGAAAGTTGATACAAGAGCATTCTATTCATATGTGGTTTATTTACTAAAATCAAATGAAATTAATGTTAATAAAAATCTGTCAAGAACATTATTGTTATTATTGCTTTAGTTAAATTTGATTTTGGTATTGTAATGATAGTATATTTTCTTGAATTATATTTTATTATAGCAGTGTCTGAAATTACATACAAAGAACTGAGAAAAAAAAAACATTAGCAAGGTGTATTCCTAAAATGTTACTCTGTTGGTGCAAGTCTGTCATTCTTCAATATTACAATGGAGAAGCTTGTACAGAATGAACACTGGTCTGAGATTGGAGATCTGCTGTACTGTGTGTATGGTGCAAAAAATGAAGGCATTCCTGGGATCAGATTTTTAAAGCAACTCAGACACTGGGAAATGTAAATAACTGTTTTTAGTTTAATTACTTTTTTAATACATTTTTGTAAAAATAGAAAAAAAAAAGGCTATAAACAGAACATCAACAAATTATTAGAATCTAATAATTAAAAAAAAAAAAGAATCAAGCACTGTATTATCTTCTTGGTATTACACCTTTCTCTTCCCCTTCTCACAGAAACTTTTACAAAGCACCACTTCTATAAAGTAGTGTGGGAAATATTTTGAGCAAATTTATCACAAATGCAGTAAAAGTGATGAATATATATATTGTTTTTTTCCAGATTTCCCCCATCGTGGCATTTACCTTTTACAGATCTTGAACATAAGAGAGTGAAGGATTTGAATCTCTATCTGAAGCAGTTGTTAAGCGGACCCCGGAAACTGGCTAATGTGAGCATTTCCAGTGTTTGTTTTTGGTAATGATAGCTAGTACTACTTATAGTGGCATTGTATCAAAAGAATTAGGAAGCTTTTCACATTGTCATTTAAGAAGGCAAATTTCATCACAGGTGACACTTCTTATATAGCCATTTGGAGGTAAAACCATCACAGCATTCAGCAGGGTTTAAGACAAAGACAAGAATGACAGAAAAATAGTTTATTAGAACTGGCAGGGTATTTTTCACAATAACTTCCCTTCCTTTGCTGCCATACAGAAGTGGTGATTCACTGAATTTTTGACAGTAGAGAGTCGGCTCTGAGGAATGTAATGTCTAAAAAAGGAGTTCTGAAATATGGTAAAGTATGATTTTGACAGTTCTTAAATGAAAAGTCCCATTGTTTCAGCCCAGAATTACTCTTTGTTTCAAAATCTAAGTTAACCTGTAGAAAAATTATTTTGCAAGCATAAGACCAAAATCAGAACATTTCAGTATGATCAGAATGATACATGGTGCACATTCACATGGGCGTTTTCTCATTTTAAATTCTTTATTGTTTGCTGAGATCTGATATTTCCCTCCTATTTCAGAGTGGAAAGTTGCAATAGTAGCAGGAATTGACTCGTGGTTGTCTGACCCAGCACAAGGCAATATTGCCAGCGATGGCAATAAAAGCTGGGACCGGGAACATCTAACAGGCCCCCCCGTGCCCTCCCAGGGTTTTAATTCATGGCACCACATCAGTCCCTGAATTGAACGGGCAATCCCTAATGTGAGGCCAGGCTCTGAGAGCAGGGAGTGTTTTGCAGTGAGAAACAATTGTTGGGAAAGGTGTCTGGCAGGAGGGTGACAATGGTGGCCACGTTAGACTCAAGGGTTACATATATCCGAGTAACCTAACAAGGGACAGGGCACAAAGACGTGCAGTGATCCCTGCTCTTCCATTTTTGGCATATTCTCTGGGAGAGAGGCACTGCCTGCCGGAAGCATCCCTTGGCCTCGGGGCCATAGGGCTGCCTCAGGCTGTTTGGTGTAAAAGTGTGTACCTTTATATGAGGAGGCAAGAGAGGGCTATGACAAGATTATTTTTCTTTAAAATCTAAAATATCTTCCAGGATGGGCAAAAAATGTTTCCTGCTTAACTAACTGTATAAAAGTTACCCAGTGGTGATTACATAATCGAGGCTAAAGGGGAAATAATCCATGTGTAAAACAAACGAGCCTCTTATTAATAATAAAAATTCTGTGTCCTGAGTTGAAATGGAGAAGATTTCCAAAGACAGATAATATTTGTGTCAAAGAGTCACACTCAGTTTAACATGGAAGAGTGGACATGGGTGCTTGGCTCCCTCAGCTGATTTTGCTGAATGAACTGCACAGGTTGAGGTTAATTGCTGTGTAGTTTCTATGCCATTCAAGTTAGGGTCACAGGTTTGTTTTACAGTAGCACCTTTGGTCACAGCTGAGGAAAAAAAATGATATAAATCAGTGACCTAGAAATGAAGAGCTCTGTATCTTTTGCTGTGCTCTGGGCTGCTGTAAGATACATGAATTTTCAATTTGGGCCAAGCACTGCCATGCAGAAGCAAAGTCTACAGCTGAAAAATTAGACTGCTCAAAGTCCTGGGATAGTTAGAAACATGCTTTTCAGTTTCACACAGAAGCTCTCCTCTCCTCTTCTTCCTGCTCAGTGGTCTATAAATGGCCTGATAATCAGCAGAAATGCAGTAGCTCCTAATGGGCTTACCACTTCATCTTTTCCTGCCTTCACGATGCTGCAGTTTGCACGGGCTGAGTCAGGTACCTTCTCCAGCTGAGCTGCTGCTGGGACACAGGGATGTAGAATCATAGAATCATTACGGTTGAAAAAGACCTTGAAGATCATCAAGTCCAACCATAAGTCCTTCAACACCATGCCTGCTAAACCCCGTCCCTAAGCACCTCATCTACACATCTCTTGAGCACTGCCAGGGATAGTGACTCCACCACTACCCTAGGCAGCCTGTTCCAAGGCTTCACCACTCTTGCTGTGTAGAAATTTTTCCTAATATGTAACCTGAACCTCCCTTCGTGCAACTTGAGGCCATTCCCTCTTGCCCGTTTTTTGATAGTTATTTTGGAGAAGAATGACCCCCTGCCTCACTACAACCTCCAAAGTCTCTCCTGAGGCTCTTCTTCTCAAGACTAAATAACCCCCAGCTCCCTCAACTGCTCCTCATAAGGTTTGTGCCCCAGCCCCTTCACCAGCTTCGTTGCCCTTCTTTGGACACATGACCAGGAATAGTGACTTTGGAGGGTGCTGACAGCTGATCTCTTCAGAGACATGTGCTGATTTGGCTCTAAACCATCCAGTGGTGCTCACATACTCATGCTGGACTGCCCAATTGCATGGTGTTCAGTTACTGAAACAGTTCAAGTCCAGCACACTAGTTAACCATAAGACATAAACAACTTTATTTTCAAAGGAGTGTGTAGCTAACAGGAGTGTCTAGCTAATGCCATGCTGGACTTGGAGGCCATGATAATAAATGGGGTAAGGAGCAGGTTGTGTTATCTCTACAAACTGCTATGGTAGTCTGGAAATCTTGTTAATCACTACATATCTAACCAGCAGTTCTCAGTGATAACCTATAAAATTATTGTCACTCCCTAAACAGTGAATCATGATTTTTACCTCAGTATACCTCTCCTGCTGGGAGATGTGAGACATTTAGAAAATACTGACATGTTCTGACCCAGTTAGAAGAGGACAAGTGAGTGAGTAATTTCTTTCGTATCCTAGTGGAAGGTCTCTTTTCTACTTTTCCTTCCTTCTAGCAGGTTTCTTTTTTTATAGTGCCGTGGTGTCTGATCGGTTTTACTGTGAGCAGGAAATCAAGATAGAAAGTTTCCTTGATAAAAGTAAATATAATTATTCTTATCTTTCTTCATGCCTTGGACAACTTTCCAGTTAAATTTGTCCTTTTCCTGAAATTGCTAGAGAGCCTGGTCTAAACCTTTTAGTGAGATGCCTGTTCTTGAGCATTACCAAACTGTCATTCCTATGAAATAGTAAAACTGTGTAGTAATAAATAATTAATCCAGATTTTTGTGAAGAAGCCTTGTAACAGCAGATACCTGTGGAAGAGGGTTCTCTGGTCTTTCTTGGCACAATCATTTCTCTCTGCTGAATTTTATTTAGCTGTGTTTTACCCTGAGACATGGTCTGAGATTGTATTAAGTCAAAAAAGAAGAGCTTTTATTTCATTATTAAATATCCTTGCTACCACTGTAAACCACTGTAAACATATTACCCTGATTGACTGGACAAGATTGACCACCTTTTATAGCTCTGAAAAGTTTGTCCAGCTCCAACTGAATGAACTTTTCCAACTGGAAACTTATTTCTACCAATTAAGTAATTAAAAGTTCTAGGAAAAAAAATTAAAAAGAATTGAATTACATATAACCTTACAATATATGTATCTTTCCTGATTCATGCCTTACATGCATGCTTCTCAGTCCAGACAAAGTTCTGATTATGAATATGATGTTATGATTAAGAGCAGGCCATAATGTCGCTGACATTCTGCTAAATGGTGTTCATGAAGGAAAATAGCTGCCTCCTCATTTGTATGGTAGCTTGAATAAGAAGGGTTTCTTTAAACTCCTCTTTAAATAATAAAAACTTCAAACTATCCTTCTCTATCTCTGAACTTTATCATCAGACCCAATAAACACAGAATAATTAGGAGGTGGAGGTGATGATTGTTCTGGGGTTAGTTTAAGACTAAACTTAGTAGTGGTATTTGTGCTCACCCTTATTCAAAGCAGATTTTTAAGCCTGTGATTTATTTTAAATGCAAATCTCATTTGTTGACTTCCTCTCAGATGTTTGTTGAAGAGCTGCCTCATACACAAGTGCTTTTTCCAAATTCAGGTTAGTGCTCAGTTATAAATAACTATAGTCAAGTGAAATGCTTGAACAAAAAGCTATATTTGTTACATCAGTCACTAAAAGGCAAAGCTGATAAATAATGCCAACTGAATTTTCTGTTGTAATGTGTTGCAGCCAGTTAGTGTCTGCCCCTGAGCAGGAATTTGATATTTAGCAAATATTGATGCACCATCATCGTATTTGACTCACTTAGGACAAGATCAAGGAAGAATTTTCAGCATCTTTTTTAAGCTTCATTCTACTTCCATGAAATCGATGATAATATATGTGAAAAGAGTGAGAATATTTAGTTCTGCACCAGCTGCCCCATTGCTGACGGGCTCAGGGGTTAGCTGCATGTGTAGGATTGTCTGGGTCTTCCCCATCAGGGTAAATCTGGCAACATGTTTGACAGTGTTTAGACTCCTGGAGTTCTGCCTCATTAAATAGCAGAATAACTATATAGCACATAGGTGAAGCATCAAGAGGCAATAAATTGAAGGTTGGAAATATGGAGGAGGGTAAAATTACACATTATCACACTATAAATCGAATCTATGACAAAAGGCAGCTGCCGCCAGCTACTACCTTTTCTGAGGAGCTACTCTCCTTTTCTGTTTCACTCTTAACTCCAACTGAGTGATGGGCTGAATAGAAATTGCAGTCTAAACCCCATAACATATCATGTAAATTAGGGCTGCCCTAGTGGCTTGTCATTTTAATGCTGTATTATAGGGTTGCACCCTCCCTGGGGACACAAAAGCCAGGTAAGGCTTTGTTAATTGAGTCAGTTCTTGGCTCTGGTGTCAAACAGAGGCATTTTAGCTATTGACAAAGCTGAATGTTTTCTTGCTTATCTTGAAAGGATGAGTTGAGCCTGACTTGGACATTACAAATAAAAAATTAGAAATACAAAACTGAATATAAACCTGTTTCATGTAGCAAGCCTGTGTATTTGGTAACATCAGCCAACTAGTATCTCTCTAAGGATAATTTTCCCATTTCTCATCATTTAAATGAAATAGCATTTAATTGGTGGATACTGTTGTTGATAGCATAGCTCAAAGACATCTCATGCACATACTGATCTTGCAAAAATACATAGCCTTGAATAAACATACATTATTTGTCCCACCTCTTTCAGGTAGACTGTTTTTGTGTGCAAGTGTGGTGGGCTTGAATTCAGTGGGTAGGGTGGAAAAAGCACAGGTGCACAATAGATCAACTAGTAGAAAGAAATACTGGGTTTTATGTCTATAAAAAAAGTATTTTTAAGTGCCCAATTTATCATTCTGAATAGTAAAATTAAAGGTAAGCAATCACTGACAATGTATCAGCTATGTGTATATGCCATAAACAGCTTTATGATCCCTTATAGGTGAAATCTCTTACACCATGGCTGTGTAAAAAGTCTTTAAAGTGGATGCAAATGAAATGATTGCAAATTACATACATTCTTTTTCAAACATACAGTTAAAGACAGACCTTGTTCTAGAGTGATTAATGTTTTACACTATAAAAGTAACCAAGTTTGATATTGTGCTTCATATATTTCATCTGTGTTTTATTCACTGGAGCTACTCTGGATTTATAGTGATTGGAAAATAGCTCCAGCAGTCCCCACATGCAGTTATTTAACACCATGAACGTAAAGCGCACCTGAGGTATGTGGGTCCCTCAAACTCCAACCGCTTATGTGCTCCTACTGGCAGATGTCAAGCAGAGACAAAATGGGAAGGGTTCAAAGTCTCCTTTTTTCCCTTATCCTTTCCTGAAGATATAATAGCTGCAGCAAGGTCAGCTTTCCCTGCTTCGTTTTTCTCCTGCTGCTTCTCCATCCTGCTAAAGTAAAACTGGTGCATGGGTGTTCTCTGACTCCAGGAGAGGCTGTTCTTTGGAACAAAATTAAATCAGGCAGGAAACCTATCTGTGTTTCACTATCAGAAGGGTGTTTTTCTAAGTAGGCTGTAATGGAGAGAGCTAGACAAATGCTGCTGTGCTCTGGTAATGTAGGTGTGGGCACCAGCTCCCTTGAGGCCAAGTGAAATTGAATGGTTCGGTTGTATCCCCATGTAAATGAAGTGGGAATTTGGCCCTTTTTAGTTTAATGCCTGAATAAAGATCATTATTTCTAAGCAGAATAATAGTGATGTATATATACATACATAGTTGCTCCACAAGAGCTTGTTATTTTTGACTGATCTGGAAAAATATCAGAAATTATGTTTTGAAAAGTATTTTCTTATTAGGCAAGAACAGTTAGACATGCAGTAGAAGGCTTTCCTAAAAATCCCAATACAGAGGGGGATATAGAGATATCTTAGGGAATATAATTTCTCTTTGCTGAGCTGAAGATAATAAATCTGAGGTAGAAAGGGTAGGTGGGTGTTTGTGGGCATCTCCGGGACCTATCTGTCTGCCAAGATTGTTACAGAGTCACTAAGGTTCTCATCTATGGGTGCATGTGTTTGTAGCAGCAAATGCTTGTTTAGAAGCAGACTCTGTCCAACCAAAATAATTTACCACACGCTTTTGAACACGCATACACCTAAGACCCCAATGTCTGTTTCTATTTAGCAGTATGAATCAATGCACAGTCCAGCTGATTGAAGTCCTGTTGACTCCAGCAGGACTTAGGAATCAGCTGGAAGTGTGCTGTGTGCTTTGGTGGTCTGCTGATCAAGCATGACCTTAAGAATGTGTTTGCTTTGTCAAAAGGAGTGTGGCTGGTGCTGTCTGGCAATAGGGAAGCTCAGCCCTGGGAGCACCTGCTGCACCCTGAGTAGCAGGGTGCAAAGTGCCTGCTGCCACCAACATGCAGGGCATCTCTCCATGCCTCTTGAAACCATTTGTTCTGCATATACTGCAACTTGACCAGCTGAATTACTTTTTTTCCTGTCTATTTGCTGTCTTTAGCCTTGCTGCTGCTTCCCCGCATGCTCCATTCCCATTCCCACATTCCCCCCATCTGACTGAGTACAGGCAGCAGATGCTTTGGAAGGAGCCCTGTGGCACCAGCAGTGTATCATGATCATGCCCAATGCAAAATCTTGCAGCAGTTTCACTTGTGTTTTTAAACTGACATTTTTTCAGAGTGCTGTTTTCTTTAGAAATGAGAATTTGGATCACCTGAAATAATCCTCCCACCTCCTATTTACTAACCTATTCAGTTCACTACTGAAAGAGCGAGGAGAGAGGAAGTAGAACACCAAGCTGCTCAGTACAGAATTTTTTATTTCGCTTTCAAGTCAGTTAGTGTATCCTTCCTTCCACCTCCTGCCTACTTCTCTCCAGATCTTTGAACTAGAAGGGCTACTTAAGTTTCTCTGCTTATTTTCATGCTGTCAAGTAAAGGCCGAGCTGCCAAAAATATACTCTTTTTCAACCCTTGAGATTCCCTGCACTTGGGACTTGTGCTGAAAGAGCAAATGCAGATCCACAGCGAATAACCTTGTTATTTAAAGCTGTCACAGCCTGAAGCAGGTGTATGGACTTTCCCCTATAAGCTAGCCTCCCGAGATGAAAAAATAATTGGTAATGCTCAGAATGGGCAGCTGCATACACTGCTAATAATCACTTGTCACTTACTTAAAAGAAAACAAGATTTCTGGTAATTTTTTCTCTTTCTTTTATTTTACAAAAATATCAGTGTGGGAGGAAAAATTCCAAACAGTAGAATGAATAATAAAAGGGAACTGCTAAAATAAATCCAAATTGCAGAATCTTATCTCTGTGCTGAATATATGCATCTTGTTCCTCTGTCTAACCCAGATGTTAACTGCGCACTAGCTGCATTTGTCCCTAACCTCTTCCATTTTGAAGTTGCCTTTTTTTTTCCTTGCACAAATCATGCCACATCTTGTCAAACTGAAACAAGACAAATGCTACATAAAGTACATCCTGTTGATAAGAGACACATTATTTTCCATGGCCTGGAAAAAAACCATGGTGACATTTTAATGCTAGAATCTGCAAAGTCTGTTCTTCAGCCCATTCGTTACAGTGTCAGTCCAAGTAACATCAATATGAATGTAGCAATTCTAACTGCGTTAAGAAAATGGGCATTCCAAAATACAGCTTTATGAAAAAGCTAATAAAATGCAGTTACAGTCCACCTTTGATTCAGTATCATGAGAGTTCATTTCAGAATTCACATTTTTATTGCCTTGTGCAATGCTCAAAGCTGGGAGGTCAGGTTTATTATTTTAATTCTCTAAAGCTGGATGTAAGTCCTTGTTATATATGTTCACTAGAGCAACTCGGGTCACTACATAAAAATAAAAATTATAGTGCAGTGCATAAGGTAGGTGACTTCTTAAGCAGGATGGGGAAATATGTGCCACATCTAAGCATAAAGGAGGCTACAGGTTCAGTCGATGCCAGGGATTGGTCCTGTGCCAAGGGCAAAATTGATGCTGACTACACACTAAAGGTGTTCTCCTGCATTCCTTTCTATATAATAGTTGCTTCTGCTGATATTTATGTTGGGAGGCCATAGATCAATGTATAAACCCTCCCAGCACGTGGCTGTTTGAAAGTATGTGGATAGAGAGGAGCCAGGTAGGCAGCTGTGGAGCCTCCCTGAGCTGGTGATAAGAGGCAGCCCTGCCTTCCCATTGCCTGCTTAAAGTCATTGCCTTCAAATGTGTTTGGTGCCTTGATTTTACCTCAAAGCAGCATAACAGCAGTAAGGTTATTGGACCCCATTAGCAGAAGAGAAAGGCTCCTCGTGATTGCTAATTCTAACATGTGCACTACAAGCAACCTGTTCTGACTTTAAGGGGCAGAGCACAATATCTGATATTCCACCAAGTATTTTTGCTTTCTTTCAGAATGAGCTGGTGCTCAGCTTCTTCCTGAATTGGTCAAAAAATACATTGGCAGAAGAACCATCATCTGCAATCTTAGGTATGTGATTTACTAAACTTAGTTGTTTTCTTAGCAGGTGTTCCTTAATGGTAATAAATATACTAATGCAAAGGTGTGTAGTGTGGCTCTTTTTTTGTGGCTGTTTAGATATCCAACAAATAATTCCTGGCTTCTCCAGGTTTGTAAAAATGATTTAGAGTGATGTGACCTGCAGGTTTGTTTCACCTCTCCTCACTCTTTCTTCATTTGTTTTGAATAAACATACCTCCATGCAAAGTAATTTTTTATTTGCACAAACTATGGCAGCTTTGTTTTACAAAACAAAATCACTGGGGAAGAATCTAGAGGAAAGGACTGGAGTCATGACAAAGCACAATGTGCATTAGGATCAGCTAAGGGAATTAGGGATAACCCTAAAGAAGTCGTTTTCACAATGAACAGAGCAGGTAAATAACAGACCATTATGTTAATGTCCAGGCATACTTTATTAATAAAAGCTGTAATTCACTTCTCACTAAATCAAATTCTGCATTATTTCCTTTACCTAGGTAGATACTTAACCCATTTCCCTGTTTCATCCTCCAGGACCTAATTTAATCTAATCGCTGGCATTACAGCATTAAGGAACAAAGCATAACCTATGTGATGTAAACCATGCATATTTTATTGTCCTCCACTGCACTGAAGATCATGTTCAGTGGTCAGCTTTTTAGGCAAAACAGAAGCTTACAAAGGAGCCTGCAGCTGCACTCAATGCTGGAACATTGTTTTGTGTCACAGGCAATATGAGTTTTCCAAGACTGCCAGTTATCCAGGTTTTAGAACAGAGTGGAAGTATCTCCACATATTTTGTTTGGATGGCCATTAAGGTAGTATCTCCTCTCTGCAGACATGGACTTTACTGTCTGTTTTGCGGAGACCATTTTATTTAATCCATCAGAACAAAGTAAATCCCACTCTTGCCTCTCAGCCTTTGGAAGATTCCCCCTGATTGGAGTTTATTTGATTAGGCTATGCCATTATTGTATCACATTTGTTATGGAAGCCGGGAATTGCTAATGGTTGCTCTAATCTATATAAAGGTTGTATATAATATACATGTATTATGAAAGTATACATATTCATGTTATATATATATGTTTATGCAAATATATACAAAGAAATGAGCAGATACTGCAAAGATGGCCTAGCTGTTAGGAAGATACAAAGTTAAATTTTGTCCAAAAAATCCAAAACAGAGTTCAAGTACAACCTGTAGTCTGGTTCCAGGGGCTACCTTTTTCTATAGACTGCTTAACCAGAAATGTAGACATGTGAGAGCGAGCTGAGCAAGCTCCTAAGGAAATTCAGGGCCCACATCCTGAGAAGGGTTTTGGTGTTTCAGTAGGATTGAAGTGTGTAAGAATTATGGAGAATCAGGCATAAATATCTCATGCAAAAGCATGAATTGAGCATGTAATGAAGTTGAGAATTAAGCTGCAAACTCCTAACTCCTGGAGTGCAGTTCCTAGCCTGTGTAAATGAAAGGGTGAGCCCTGCATTTTGCAGTCAATGGTGTCCCCATCAGAGAAGAAATTAAGAAACAAAGGTAAGAATGTATTTTACTGAGTCTTTAGTGAAAGCTATGTGACAGGTAACCCAACCTGCTCGTTCACTATGAAGTTTCTGGCTCTGTTAGATGAAGGTCACAGACTGGTCAGGGGACATTAATGTGTCTCTGACCTCAGGCAGAATGGTTAACTGGAAGTTTTTTCCCCCGCTCAGGAACTCTGTCTTTTAAAGTTTGTTTGGTCACATTGTTTCTAGACTCAGCACAAAACATTTGCCTGACAGAAAAAAGAAAACTCCCTTTGGCCTAGAGAATTCATTATTATTATTATTTATTAACAGAATGTCTGTAGCATACAAAGGTCCAGTTAGCTTAGACACTGTAAATGCAGAGAGCAAGAATGATTCCTGAGTTGCCTTTGCTATGACACCATTCCCAAACTGCAGTGAACCAGGAAATATGGGAGTTTAGCTCTACGTGAGCAAGCTTCAGTATGAAAAGAAGACTGTGCATGTGCTAATGACCCTCCTGATTTTTTTAAAAGTCAGTCTATGTGTATTCCCTTGTTGTTAGACTTCTTAGACTCCTGTATTTCGTATCCTTCTGAGTCCATATGTGAGCAATCTGTACATATGTGTACATTGCATGACATCCTCCACCATGCTAAGATCCAGCCTGTGAGAAGACCTGAGTCTTCTCCAAGGCATGAGGTGGATGATCATACCTACCCACAAGGCAGCGAGCAAGGAGTGGCTGGAAAGAGCAGCCTTGGTTCTGGAGGGTCTTGCTTGCTGAGAGTGCCCTGAAATGCCCTTCATTGGAAAGTAAGCTCTTTAAAAATGCCGTAGTCGAGAGCTGGGGCAGGAAATGAGCTCACTGAGTACGCAGGGAAGAGGCAATTACTGTGAAGCAAATGTACCCTTCATCCACAGATTTCACTGCTTTATGAGCTTATAAGGGCCTTCCTTTTTTTTTTTTTTTTTTTTTTTTTCCTAGTGTGAAAACAATGCCGGTTTCAGTCTCATAATAATATCATTATTTTATCTCAGGAGCAGAGGGGCCCTGTCAGGGTCATGAAAGATTCTGCAGTCACTTTGGTAATTACATGGAGAGGCTAAAACATAGGGGCAGGGGCATTTTTTTTTTTTTTTTTTTTTTTTTTTCCTAGTGTAAAGAATAGCTCAGTTTTAATATGCCTTTAATATATGCTGTAACTTTCCATGAGCATGGTGATTTCTCCCTCAGTATTTACACAATCAAATCATCTGTCTCCAAGTTAGGATGAACACAAAATAAAGCCAGTGCCCAGTACAAGCAGGTTATGAATTTTGATCAAGACAGCATCTTTCTCTTACACTGTTTTAATTTCACAGTGTTGTAGGTAATTACACGTACTAAAGTAAAATAAAAACTAAAATTTATGAATTTGTACTGTGCTTCTAGCAATGAAGAGATTAAAAATCAGTGCTAAATTTACTTTGACATGAATACTGATTCAGTATTCCCAGTGGAGTGAATTCCAAATTATACCGAATATTGTCAGCATTTCATTATACCAAGCTTACTACAAGGGATGAAGAGTAAGATACATCAGAAATGATTTCACAGACAGCATTTTATAAAGGCTGTTAAAAACAAGAGAGAAAGAAGAAATCCATCAAAATCATTGTGATACCAATCTGTGTAGTTTATTTTTCTGCTCTCAATGCTGTATCCCCTGAAAGTATTAATATTCCAGACTGTTCTAACATATGCAATCATGAAAGCTTTGCTGTTTGTTATAACAGTACACAACACAGGTCAATTCTGACATGTTTGACTACTGCTCAGTTCATTTTAGTGGGCCTCTGTACATATAGTGCAGTAGAGGGGTTGACTATGTATCTTTCTAAAGCAAAATCCAAGTTTCCTGATAAGAAAAATATGTAGTCCACCTCTCCATGCAGAATCCCAGTCCTCTTGGATACTCCCTTGGGACAGTAAGCTATTTTTCTCATGTTACATACTGTTTCTGTCTACTGCAGAGGCTCATTCTCACTGTCAAGCTTTGGCCATGAGTTGCGTTTCTACTTCAGTTGCACATAATGTTTCACTGGTCATCAGTACCTCATGTCAGCTTCCAAAACTAAAGCGATGAGAGGGTGTTATGCATTAATGTATCTACAGATGCATATCTGAAATTGAGTACATTGGAGGGTTGTAATTCCCTTCCAAGCTGTGGCCAATGCAAGCAGCCAGTCGGCTTATGCTCTTCTTGGGAAACAAAACAAATTCCAATACCCTGTTGATGCCAGGTGTTAAAAGAAGAAAATTGTGAGACAGATCTAAGGGAGAGAGAATCATATGTACTACTCTAAATGTAGTTCTGTGAGGCTTATTTAATTAGCATTTGCACATTGCTTTGCAGTCTATCAGTGAAATCAGATGTATCAATAAAATACAGTTTCCCTGCAGAAGATTTAGTCAATTTTCTGTGTAGCACATATTGCACAGTTTGTATTTCTCATGCATTGTGCAAGCATACTGTGGAGGGTTTTTTTTAAATGAAAACTACACAAAAAAAAAAAGAGTAAATGGCCAGTAGTTACTAACAATACTATAGAAGAAAGGAACTGTGTATTTGACAATTCTGGAGATTGTATCACTTAGGGATTAATTTCAACACTTAATTCCTTAGTTTTGTCATCTGAAAGAAAGAAGTGGATCCACAGTTGTCCAGTGTATATGTTTCTTGATGAAAGAAATCATAAACTGTCACAATGTTTGACTTTGTCTGCAAGATGTATTGGCAGCTGATTTTGACCTTCTTTCTGGCTTTGAGGGGTACACGGATACAAGTAACTGTGAAAAATGCTGTGAATGTCGTTTCAGCTATGGGCAGTCAAACTGCAGGGCCCTCGTTTGATATTTGACAGCTTTTCCATTAACACCAGTGAAGAATCAATCCCCGAGGGGGAAATCTCGCTTCAGCTGAAGTCAACGAGGCTTTAACCTGTGTCTATAACAGACTGGCATTTGGCCCTTGCCTACAATGGAGGGCAAGCAGAGCATGACAGTTCCTGAAAATGCAGGGCCTGAGCTCAAGTCCGTCTGCCCAAGCAGGATAGACTGGAAATAATTATTGTTTGTGTGTTTTATTATCATTTGAAGCTAAAATTACCTAGATTTCAAAGGGGCAATGATTTAGCACTGAATGGGAAAACTTAAAATATAGTCTAACAGCTGAGAGTAGATGAGTGTAACTATCCTTTATTATGAAATATAAGTGATAGAAGTTTCTCTCTTATGTCAGACTCCTTGCATTACTTTCCTTTTTCCTACTTTTTTTTTTGTTTTGTTTTGTTGGTTGGAGCTGAACTTATTACAAAGCAAAAGTAAATATTTTGGTAATAGTCACACTCATAATGTCTTTTTCAGACTTCACTTTGAATACTCAATTAGAAGTGCATTTTTCCCTCCCATGCTTTTCATTATTTGGAACTTGATTAAAAGCTTATTTGCATTTGTTTCCTGAAAATGAAAATGCCAAGTTCCATAGAAGAATTTCTCCACTGGATATAAACATTCACGCTATGAAACTTAAATAAAGCAGAGAAAACAGTGGTAGTACTGCTGGAAAGAAAAGGCATAATGCTCAGCTGAATGCAAACAATGTAATTTAGTCTCTGAGATCTGCTATTCTTTCTAAACTGGTCAGAATGACCCACAGCAATTCACAATATTAACAAAGCTCCTCAAGAGAATGGTGCCCTTATGTTCAAGCACAACTCCCTTGTATTACACTGTTTCATGCTCTAGGTACCTTTCCTGATGCAACTTAAAGAATAAGTCCCACGTGTTTTTTTTTTTTTTTTTTTTTTTTTTTAATAGCAAAATGATGGCTTTGGATGGGGGAAAATAAAATTTTGTTTGTTTGTTTGTTGGTTTGTTTTCCCTCAGAAAAAAACTAACCTTTTCTGGCTTCCTGGCCAGTTTTCATCCCCTGACATCCCCTATCCCTATTTGCATGCAACAAGCAAGGAAATAAGGTGTTGCCTAGCTAAATGATTTGTCAAAGTTCATAAAGGATAATGGGAAGTGAAGAACTTCAGCTAGGTCTTCAACTCCCAGCTTAGTGATTTCATCATAAGATTTCAATTTTTCAGGAGCCTGTTTCAGGCCTTTCTCTAATTAGGATGTGATTAAAAATGAATTCTTCTAGTCTCCAAAGGAAATAAATTTGAGATGGATTCATATTCTAAAATTCCAGTTCAAACACCACATGCTCGGAAGTGTTTGTATCCAGACTGCTTGGAAAATTTATATTATAGCAATTATATGTACACACTGGGTTATTTTTCATTCAGTTGAATACCTTTCCTTATGATAAATGGCAATTGCACCAGCTCTCTGGGTGTCCATAGTACATTACACCACTGTAATTCTACCTGCTTAGCAACTACTTTAGCCTCTGTTCGCTCTGGGGTTTGTGCTTTTGTCTTTTCTTTTGAAAAATACAACCAATACGTGGTTTACTCTTTATGAAGTCCCCTGTGCTGCCTCCTTTGTCAAATAACAGAGAAAAACCTGAGAAGAGAGAGTTTGATATCTCGTTCTTACAATCTTGGCTGTAGCAAACCTGGTGCACATGTGGTGACAAGAGAGAAAGAGGGCAAAAATGAGTGCACGAATGAGCACATTGTGCAGAGAACTGTGGACCCCAGACCCAATGGTGCAACATGGTTTATTCCTACCCTGCTCAGGGCTAACACTGCAACAGAAGCAGCTCAGGGAGATAATGGAGAGGGGGTTATTGTGCTGCCTCTTGCCTGGAATATTATGGTAAAAAGCATCTATTTTCTCCACTGTCTCTGTGAGGCAGGTAGGTCACATTGCCTTCTCCATGCCAAGGACAGACCTTTTTGGCAAGTGAAGACCACTGGCGGAGTGCCTGCAGCAGAAAGAAGGAAAAGGATATGCTTAGTCATTTCTTCCATAGCTTGGTCCTTGCTTGGAAACTCAAGAACGTTTTGTCACTGACCTCAGTAGGAGCAGAGGCAGACTCTGTAAATGTATTTTAGTAGAAAACCCATGAAAGCGATTGGCTGCATGAAAACAAGCATCGAACAGAGACAAATACAGAATGAAGAAGGGAGAATTTAGATCTGTCAGATATGGATATTGTTACTCTTGAAAAACCAACAATTGTTTTGGAACATGTCTGCAAACCTTTATGTATTTATTTTTCTGTTGGCAACTGGAAAAAGTACCCAATGTTTTTATCTAGACAGAAGCACTGCAGCAGCAGTGGTCAGTACCCCAATAGTACAACAGTAGTTTGAAAAAAAAAAATATTTATAACTTACACATAAATTTCCCGCTGAAGTTCTGGTTGGTGTCAATTAGAAAATCTAAAATCTCACTATCAATGAATAAACAAGCAAGAAAATGAACACTGCATGTCAAACTGCCTTTTTAATATTTGTGTCATACTCATCAATGTTTTCCAATTTCATCTTTGATTTCATCCTTGATTTAAGGTTATCATCTGTTTGTATATTAATTCATATGTATTAGCATTTTAGATATATTTTTCTACTGATCTCTTTACTAAAAAAAATCAACTTATTTGGCCTATTTTAGGTCTTCAGTCAACTGATCATACGCCTGGAGTGCAATTAGTCATGTCCTATGAGCACACTCGACTGACCATAATGTTGAAACATATGAGGAACCTTGTGAGTATTTTTGTCATGATCTATCCATCATAAACCTTTACATTTGCAGAGTACTGTGAAAACATTAAGCCTTGAGCACCCTGTCTGGGATAAGTAGCTTTAAATCAAAATTAGGGTAATGTTTTCTTGTCATCATTAACACTTGATTTTTTCCTTTCATCTTTTCATTGCGGTAGATGTGGGAAAGACCAACACAGAGAAACTATGTTGGCTTAATAGCTGACAGTGAGTTCCTCCAGACCATATACAAAACTAGCTTTGATGACTGTTTCAACCCCTTTACAAGGGCATATTTTGATAACAGCCAGACATAAGGTGTCGTGGCACCAGCATGACATTTTGTGGGGGAACAGCATGGGGTTATGACAGTTGATCGATTATCCATACGCTCCCCTCAAGTCAGGCATAGCTGTTGTGTCAACAGGGGAGAACTTGGCAGACAGAGTCGTGGCGTATTTTAAGAAGCTGTGTCATTTGCTAGGATGATGCTCAGTTTGCAACACTGTCTTTCATGAGGCTAAATGGTAAATGAGGGAAGCAGACTATGAGAGGAGGAACCTGGCAGAGCTCCTGCAACTCAAGGCAGGTGAAATCGGCTGGTGAAAATATCTTGAGAGAGGTGGCTGGTGCCACGTGTGTCCTCTCAGCTGAGGCAGTCTGTCTGCTCTTTCATAATGAGATCAGCTCCCTAGATCTGCTCTTGAATTCCCGGTTGCTCAAGTGGCAAGTAATGGCTGTGGCTTGGAGATCCTTCACCCTCTCTGCTTGGCTAGGAAATTAAAACACCTCTTGACTGTTGCAAGTTCTTAATGCATACATTTACACCTCCTGCATCTCAGGCTGCCTCACAATCACTTTCTCTAAATGAGGCAAAGTGAGGAACGTATGTGAGCACCAGCCAGGGATAAAATGAGACGGACTCTTTAATTAGATGTAAGATTCACGTGAGGCTTCTGTAGCTCCAGCCTGTCTCTATTGACTACTTTGGCTTCTGCCTTGTAATTGAAGCTATTCATTTGGTCCAGACTGTCCAAGAGCATCTGGGTCCTGAGAGACTTGTCCTTTGCTTCCTATGCACCATCATGATAAGTGAGATCAGCCTCTCCTGACAGGTCCAGTTTAGAGGAACTTCTGGCTGGCACAAATTCTTTCATATTACACAGACAGACTCTACAATATTTTACTTTCAGAATGCTTTCTTAAAGTTGAATGATCTTGATAAACTTCTGATAAAGTTATGATTAGTGGGTGAAATATATTTAAATGGTACAAACAAATTGCTATTTTCCTAATGTTACTATGAGTTCAGGCAGGTGTAGATGTGCAGGAAGAGAACAATAGCTGTCGAAAGCAATCTTTCTGTACATTTCCATCATTTTAGGCATAGCAGCTCCTGACTGTGTTCTTAGGAAGTTCCAGCCATTTTAATTAAGTAAAAACAAATTATAACATAGCACAGGATAGCAAAATTGAAATCAGGAGTTCAGTTCATTATGGAAAGGGACTTACAGTTATCATCTAGCATTTCAAAGTATGTGCCCTACAGTCAAATGCAATGCAGTCAAATTTTAGATTGCAGAGAAGACCTGTAGGTCCAATTCAGTAAGACTGATAACGATTCATGACTTACAAGTAAGGTCACTATTTAAACAGCCTGACTTTGGCAATCATGTTATTAAATCTTGAGGTTGTGTATCCTACCTTTCATCTGTCCATCTGTCCATCGTCATCTGTTCTGAATTATAAAATAGCTCTGCTTCGGGGCATGGTAATGCTGGACTACCTGCAGAATAGTAGCCTATAAAATAAAGATTCTTCCTCACATTAGTAATCTTTTCAGCTTTCCAGTTCCATTGATATCTCTATCACACTCTTTCTTCTATTTCTTCTTTTTCTTTTTTTTTCCTTTTTTTTTTTTATCTCAACAAGGTTTTCAATGTATGCCAAGATCATATCTTATTCAAGGCATGTTAAAACTATTTCAGGTATATGCAGTCTTTTGCACAGTCTCACTAATTATATTTTAGTGGTTCATCTGTGCAGAGATTACTTTGCCATCTTGTTTAATTTCGTAATTCATCATAAATATCTTTTTTTACTGCTCTTCCCCATTTAATTTATCTCTTTATAGAGATTTTATGATGTGTTCAGATGTAAAAATAATTGTAGTGGGCAAATTAATCCCAAACGTAGACTCACTGAACGGACAGGAGTTGTGATGGAGAATGACTTTAATCCATTTAAGTAATTTTTATTTATTGTTTGTATGGGGATCGTTCTAGAGATTTTAATAAGAGATCTAGATACTGCTGTGCCAATTTTATATTTATATGTGATGCACAAGGTAGATAATCCCTAAAGAGCTGGCACTGTTTATAGCCATTGTTAAGTGTCATATAGTTTCTCTAAAGGATAAAGCTAAAAAAGTGCAAAGCAATAATTTTGCAGGTGTTTTTCATGCAGCTACTTCTTTTCATATGGGATGTCAAGTGCTGTCACACTTCAGACAGAGTTGGTTTGGGGCAGACCTCTCACAAGACCGTCTCATGTGGGTGCACATATGAACTCCACAGCGCAGCTGATTTTGATCTGATTTGTGCATCTGTGTGTGCCAGATTTGCTGCATATGCAGAAATCAGTTTTTCAAAGGTCTGCTTCAGAGTGGCCCCTCCCTAAGCACAGCAGCATTTCAACCATGTTAGAAAAGCCAGTCCTGCTTTAGGAAAAGTCTATTAAAAATTCTTCAAGGAACAGCAACAGAGTAGAATAGCCATATAAATTTAGGCACTAGAAAGGACCATTAATCTCATCTAAACTCCTGTAAAACTCAGACTGTATTTTCTTATTGAGAAAATACTTGCATCTAGACCAAGAATGCAGGCACTGAAACTGTTTGAATGGAGGGATGTAAGACTGGTTGCAAATGTTTGTCTACACTTAAAAATTGGGCATACAGCAAAGAGGAATTTTCTTAAATACATACTTGCAAGTTACTAAAACAGTGTTGTGAAGTCCCAAGATTTTGCTCAGAACCGTGTAGTTTTATGTGAATGCTGAGATTCTGTAAGTCAGGTGACAAACATCAGGCTCAGCTTCTGCTGCTGATTTGAAGGGCATCACCATGGTTGCTGAGAAAAGCTTTAATCCAATTTTCAAAGATGCAGGAGCCATGATGCTAATAAAATGCAATTTTCTAAACATGTGCATTACGTAATTTTACACCAGTCTCTTGGGGCATTACAGCACTCAGATACAGACAGTGCAATACTGTGCACTGTACGCATAGGCGGTAAAGGCAATATTGTCTTAATCAAGTGAAGCTGGAAGGCAGGAAGCCAACCAAAAGGAGCCTTGCATGGTGATGAAAACTGGAGAGCTTTATGGAGGCTGGGAGCTTTGCCTCTGAGTCTGGGACAGATGTGGCAGCAGAATAGGCTGGAGCAGGACTAGCTTCTTACACAGCACTACAGGGAAATACCTGGTGATGAACTAAGTGTTTTTGGGAAAAAGAAATAGGATTCAGGGCAAGGTTCATTTTGGCATTTGGAAGGACTTGTCAGCTAAGAGCAAGTGAAATCCGGCTGTGACAGCACGACATAGAAAAATGGCATCAGATGGGAACAGGGGAACGGGAGGAGGCAGAAAGCAAGCGTGGGGAATGTGTAAAAGCCATAGGCTTCTAGATCTGTGTAGTAACTGTGTAATGGGATTTATGAACACTGAAAGTCCTCTGCCTTCCATCCAATATCGAGAATGTGGGAAATCAGAATCGTATCAGATTTTACTTAGCAAGGACTGTGGGTTAGCTTAGCATGGGGTAGGCAGCAGCCGCCAGGCTGACACTGCTGCACCTCTCTGTCCTCTTGTCTAATCAAAAAGAGACATGAGGCAGTGCAAATAGCCATTTCTGATGATCAGAAAATGTTAGTTAATATAATTTTTTGCATCTTCACAGAGAATCAGAGGGAATAGTGGTTGAGCGCTGGCAGAGGAGAAACGTATTTTGTCCAGTGAATTCATTGCCATGACTTCAGGCATGCCCTGTTTTCCTAGATAAGCAGCTAAACTTTTCAATCCTTGCTGCGAAGCATTCTTGCCCATTACTTGTTGTGGACAGAATAACTCCTCAGGGCAAGCGGGGAGCAGAAACAAAGCCAGCTTGTCCCTGAGCCTCATGCCAATAAATGCCTCTCAAATTCAAGAAAGCATGTGTGGGTGATGAATTCGGAACCAATTTTACAAGGGGAAAATATGCTGGAAGAAAAATAAACTCCTACAGTACTTTCCAAAACTGTGTCCCCCCTTCCTTTTATGAAAGCTCTGAGGCTGTCATGAACAGCTATTGATGATTAATGATACCAGGATAGCTGATATGTGAGTGACAAATTAGTGATCAGCTTTAGGCTCACACATACATCCAGCCTCTTTTCCACTTTGTGTCCTACACCATCCGAGTACAAATTGTTTCCCAAAACATTTGTGAAACATAGATAGATAGATAGATGAAGGGCTTTGAGAAGAAAGGTGAAAGCTAAGCTCAGCCAAGGAGATGGATGCATTTCCTAAGCCCTCTCTCATATCTCTCATATTCCTCTCTCATATCTCTCATATTATCTCTACAGCCTCAGGGTTAGCCAAGAGGGGTAGGGAAGAAGTTCCTTAGCCAGGTGCAGCAAGGTGAATTGCCCACAGTAGGAAAGCAACTGGGAAGGAAACGCTTTGAGCTGAACAAAAGGTGTTCAGCTGCATAAGTTTTGGTGGCAGAATTAAAAAGTGGTTTGTCTGATGGAGGAAGGTAAGACATGCAGATGATGTTCTCTCTAGGCTCGTACTGGAAAGTAAAACAAAAATAAAGCACTTGAGCTAACTCTGGTGTGTAAGGAGATGGGATTGAATTTCACATTCGTGGTGAGAAAATGCTTTTACTTTAAAAATGAATGTAAATTAGCTTAGATAGACATTTTCTCTTTGAAGTTTAAAATTAGCTGAACATCCATAAA